AATTCCTTTTTTTGTTTCACATCATTATGGGAGTGCAAAACATAGGTGGAAATCACCAACTTGAAATTTTTTATCATTATTTTTTATGGCTGGGTTGCATTTTGATTCTTTTGAACTTATTCTTGGTTTTCTTGATGGAACTTTCACATGTGATTGGGAATTTAATTTAGAGATTTTTTTGTTCTTGAGGGATCAAACAGAAGAAAACGTCTATGATGCCGTACAATTTGCCATTAAAAAACATGGAAACATAAATCATAAACTATTGTCATCTTTACTGCTACTTCTTTATACTGTAGCTTCATAAAGCACATTGCCGTTTTCTTCTGAGTTGGCTTCAGTCCTCATTAAACTGTTATATAGCTTGTCTGAACGAAATTCTACAAAGTGATGCTTCAGTTTTCCAAGTACTGTTCAGCTAAGATAAGACGTCTTCCAACTTTGATATGCTCGAGTTTGAAATCCGCATGCATAATATTTTTGCTATCATCAATAATTTAACTTTTTAGAGTTTTAGAATTTCTATGGGTTTAAAATCCACGTCATGTTAGGAAACCACAGAAGTTAGATTTATGTATATTCCTTGAGTGCTCATCTAGTCATCCCCCACTATAAAGTGCATAATGTTCTATTATCACGCTAAGAATAAGTTCATAAGGATCATCCCTGCTCCTTAATGGAGACTGATTGGCTTAGAGTCACGTCTATTAGGAAATTTAGTAGTGAAAATGAAAAAGCAGATGTTGTATTTTTTGTCGCTATTTAGATTTGCTCGCTCAGAATCTGATAGGTTAAGAAAACAATTTTCCTGGGCAATTGCGTAGTCAGGATCCAGGTGTAGTGGGAGCAGAAATCTAATAAAGGCATACATAAATTTTGATGACTGAATTGTAATAAAATTCTTGAGTTTAAACTAAAGCAAAAAGGGGGAATACACATGTTACTTAGAGGATTGTTAAAGAAGTTCACAATGCATGTACAATAAAAGACTTCATTCTAATTATATACCTAAAGTACAAAGTAAAATATATTTATTTACTAAAAGCAATACACAGGCTATGACAAAAATAAGATTAGTAACTTATTGGAAGCTTTAAATTTATCTCTAGTTATTGATGAAATTCTTTTAGAAAATAAAAAGTGGCCGTTCACTTGTCAACTAAGCTGGAAAAAAATGTAATTCTAAAAACTTACTAAGCCATGGTACAATTTTTTGATTTTGATGTAGAGAAAGAGAATGGTGGGGGGGGGGGGGGGGGGGGGGGGGAATTGGGGGCAAAATTATTTGAGTTGATGTTTGGACTTCCCTTTTGATGAGCTGCTGATTTCTCTTCTAAATTCAGCTCATTATTGTGTATTTAATGCCAAATTAGATTCATTCCCCCCTCCTTTTATTCCCTTCTCTGAGACCCTACGATTTCCCCCTCCTGGGTCCTTTTCCCGTGTTTGATTCCTCCCCCTTGTGGTTGCCTGCCCCTTTGGCTGTGTGTTCCGTTCCCTTTGGCTGCCTGTTCCTTCCCCCTTGGCTGCATTTTCCAGTTTTCTGTGTGGCTGTTTGGGTGCTGTTTTGGACTGACTGCTGGCCTTTCATTTCCCCTGATTTAATGAGTTTAATTGGAGGAAATTTGGGCTGTTTGGCTGCCCCATTTCTCCTATATATATTTGATGTTTTGTAATGGAAAAAAGGATGATATGTGAGGTATTTTTGGAGATGAAAACCTGAGCTTGTTCCACTTCTTCTCTCTTCTTCTAGGAAAGCTTGCGAGCCTGTCCTCTCTTTCGTCTCCGCTTCTTACCTCTTGCTTCTCTCCGCTAGTTCGACGCCATTTGTATCTTTCTTCTCGACAGATGAAAAGCAGCTTTAGTTGTTTTATGTTTGTTTTTATGTCATAAGTTTGTAAGTGTCAATGTTATTCTATAAAAGGTGTATTTTCTGATTCGGTGTGTATCTTATTATGTTCTTAGGAAGTCTTTTATTTTTCTTGCAAAAATTAAAGTTTTTCTAATTTTTTTGCTTGCATCAGATTGCATGCATCTGATAGGAAACACTTGAAGATTTCAAGTAAAACCTATCAATTTCGGAAAAAAAAAACAACGGTAAACTCTTCCAAACTCCAATGAAAATCAGAAAAATAATAATTTTATTGCAAGACTCAAATTGAACGAAAGAAAATAACAAGTTACAATTGATCCTTTATTCGAGAGGAGGATTTATCTCTCCCAAAACTCTAGACGCCGCTAGAGCCCAAAAGAAATCTAAGAGATCTCAAATTTCAGCCAAATTCAAGATGTCATAACCCCAGGAAAACAAATTATTTAATGCATACAATCCAAAAGGAAATCTTAAAACAATCCTTACATTCAAATTTCCCTCCTAACTCCCTTAAAAATCCTTCCTGAACAGCTCCGTGGGACCCGGCCGTGCCCTTGACGCGTATAGGAAAGGTGTAAGAGTCCGCTTGTTTTGCTCGTAAGCTGGTCCTGTATGGACTGGCTGGACCGGTCTAACAATACACCTCTCCTAAAAACTCACATTGTCCGCAAGGTGGAAAGACATCCCCCCGCCCCCTCAATTCTCTCATCATCACAAATGGTAAGAACCTGAAGAGTTCGGTCCTTACACCTGTGCCCTGGAGTATACCTCTCATCACATCTGAGATAGAGCCTCTTCGCCCTCTTCTCCTATAATTCCGTTTCTGTGATCTTCTTGAAATTGTTCACAGGTCTTCCTCCTGCAGTCTTTTCCTTTGAAGTCCCCTGAAGAGTATTCGATGTTGGCTCCTTGGATGCCAATATCATGGTGGTCATCCTGTATGAGCCTACCGAGCCGCTGCTTCTCATTCCTATCTCCAGGTGCCTCTGATCCTCTGCCAACTGAGCTAGCTCCATAGCCTCTCCTAAGCCACAAGACCTCATCACTCTAACCGCTTCTCGGATCTTTAGTTTCAGTCCTTTCATGAAGTTCTCCTTTAATATTGTCTCAAAAAGGCGGTCCAATCGGCTAGTAAGGTACTCGAACCTTTTCCAGTACTTTATCACTGAACCATCCTGTGTCAAGGCGAAGAACTGCTCGTAGAAGTCTCCTCCCCTGTCGGTTCGAAAACGTTCTACCAAACAATCCTCCAACTCCCTCCAACTCCATATGGGTCGTTGCATGTCTCTCCATTGGTACCAAGTCAAAGCCTTCCCTTCCAAACATAGGCCCGCTGTCGTCAGTCTCTCATCCTCCGTCAACTCATTGACGACAAAATATCTTTCAACCTTGTAAATCCACTCGTGTGCATCATCTCCCTCAAAGATTGACATCTTTAGTTTCCTCACCCTCTGATCTTCTACATTCCCTCTATCTCCTCCATAATTTTCCATCCCCCATGGGTTGGTTCTCCCCAAGTGTCCCAGTCATCTCTTTAACGCTCATACCCAAACTTTTCATCAACTTCCCACCTTCTCCTTTCAAATTTAACACCCCTTGGATCATAATAAACCTCTTTCCTTTCAAATTCAGCCCCCTTCGGTCATAATTTTTTCTTTGCCTTTCAAAATACGCCCCTTTCCTCTCAAATTCAGCACCCCTTCATTCTTTCCCTACCTCCTCACGCCTCTCCCCATACCCTCTACCTGGATCTTCCCTAGAAATAGGCTCTAGGGAAGGTATTCTCTCTTCTCTCTTTCGAGTCTCCACCTCCTGATCTTCCCTTTGACTTATTGGTTTAGAGTTTTCTCCACTTTCTTGCTTGTCGGTGACTTCCGTCACCTCCGACGATTTTTTTTTTATTTGGCCCTTGAGCACTTTCTTCAACATCTCCCCCAGGATGGAAAACTTTGAATCGATCTTAGCATGAATGACTAAAATTTCTTTCTTTAGATCTGAAACATGAGTTTGTAAATTTGAAATTTCATATTTCATTTGTCCGATCTCCCCTTCGAGGCATTTCTCCAACGCATTCACTTTCCTGGACATCATCGATACCCGGATTTTTGTTGAACTAAAAATCTGAATCTCATTTCCCAAAAACAGCAAGCCCCTCTTCCTCTGGCCCAAAAACAACTGCTGGAATTCACAAAAACAGCCCCCAAAAGGTCCCAAAATTTGCTATGATACCACTTTGATAGGAAACACTTGAAGATTTCAAGTAAATCCTATCATTTTTGGAAAAGAAACAGCGAGAAACTCTTCTAAACTCCAATGAAAATCAGAAAAATAATAATCTTATTGCATGACTCAAATAGAACGAAAGAAAATAACAAGATACAATTGATCCTCCATTCGAGAGGAGGATCTATTTCTCCCAAATCTCTAGACACCGCTAGAGACCAAAAGAAACGTAAGAGATCTCAAATTTTAGCCAAATTCAAGATGCCATAACCCTGGGAAAACAAACTATTTAATGCATACAATCCAAAAGGAAATATCTAAATAGTCCCTACATTCAAATTTCCCTCCTAACTCACTCAAAAATCCTTCCTAAAAAGATCCATTGGACCCGGGCGTGCGTTCGAAGCATACAGGAAAGGCGGAAGAGTCCGTCTGTTTCGCCCGTAAGTCGGTCCCTTATGGACCGGTTGGACTGGTTTAACAACATCCCCTCATGTTAATGTGGCTCTGCCATTGGCAAGCTCTCTACTATAAGCTTGTTGAACCTGCAAATTGAACGATATTAAGAATTGATCCTGAAGATGAATGCCCCTTGTAGGTTACCTGTCAAATAAGGTAGCATGCAGCTTGATTTGCTTTTCACTGCTGATATGGCCTTTCTGTACTTAACTGTAGAATTCTATTACATAATTTTATGCATACTTATTGACCTAATGACCTTAATACTGCTTCTTGTCAAGCGATGACTCTTGCATTCTATTCTTTATTTTATTTATATGATAGATGGGTTAGTTTACAATGTACGCATGAACAACAAAAAATGAGTAGAAAAGAAAATGGATAATTAAGTGAACTGCACCATGCTTGCTAATTTATGTTTCTAATGATAGCGTGTTTTGTGAAGGTTAAAGAATTTCATCCCGATGTGTACAAAGGAGCAAGTAATTCAGATGAAATTATTCTTCGAGTAATAGGTGCATATGAGGTAATCCTTTATATTTATTTGGGTACACTTTTCTAAGAGTAATTTAAGAATAGTTCCTCTTGTCATTCAATAAGTATTAAAACAAAATTTAGCATCTTCTCTTTCAGTATATGTTCATTTTGTACTTGATTTTCAACAGCATTAGGTAAATGCTTCAGTCTTGTTTTAAAAGAAAAAAAAAGGTATATGCTGCCAAAGTAATGGAATGAAACCTGGGATCATGGACCGTAAGATCCTGTCCTTCGAGATTCATATTTCTACATTTTTATTTTTGCACCTTACCTGGCATCTGATTTATACCATGTAGAGATTAAATTTCCATTTTGAACTTGTTGAAAACATTGAAGTAGGAAATGATACATAAATAAATGAATCACCATTTTTCTTAGCATATCTACAAGCTGTGTAATTTTATAAATAAATCATCTTATCTTACGTATTTGGCATAAGCAAAAAATGTTAAGTATTCACCTCTCTCAAGCTCTCGCTTCTTTTATGGCCACATTTAGCTATATGTCAGATTTAGCTATACCTTTTTGAACAAATTTGATCTTGTTAGTTGGCTAGCATAGCTCATGCATGCAAAGAGAAATGTATATCCTTCATGCATGCAATATTTCATTGGGCAATGCTTCTCACTCTAACCATGTCAATGCCAACACATTTGGCATAAACACTGTTCATGCATCCGTGCTATATACACCATGTCCAATGAATGGACGTCCCCAGTCAAACTGGAATTGAACCTGGCTGATTCGGAAGAAGCTTTTCTTTGTTGCAAGATTTAGCTTTTGTGGTCATAGATTCTTTGAATCAGTAATTGTTGGAATCAATTTAAATTATCAAATGAAGCCATTCATTTAATCTTTAAGGCGTTCATCTTTAACAGAGAAGATATGAAATACTTATTGAACTTCACAAATACCTCTTTGTCTTCCAACTAATGGGATTTGAACCAACTACCTTTCATTTAGAACACCTTGGTTATGATAGCGGAGTTAGCAAATTTTTACTAACTAGTTACTGCAAGAGCTTCAGCAGTTCGCAATCATTTAAATTTTAACATATTGACTTCAAGCTCCAACTGCGTCCCTTTGACATGTACCTTCAGTGGGGATATGATTATCCTCAGAAAGATACTTATCTTTCTTTCCGTCACCTATGTTTAAAATGTGAAACATTGTCACTATACAATTGTCTAAGTACCCATTCTTCTTAAGAAAACATTTCTCTCGAGGATGTTCTTTTTACTCATAATATTTTATTAGTTTATTACTGTTAATCATTTTTTCTTTTTACTCATAAGTATTACTTAATTGAGGAATGCTTTATCTCATAAAATATCATGTAAGCATTTTAGATCAAATATTGTATGCTTTAATGTTCTCAAAAAAAGCTTCTGAATAGTTTGAAAATTCATTGGGCGTGCAGATATTGTTGAAGCATTTCCAGTTTGAATCTGTAGAGAGGTAATTCAATTAATTTATGAAGTATTAGTGTGTATGATCATTTTATTAACTCTATCATCTTCTTGATTTTATTCTAAAAATATAAAACAGGATTTAGTTTAAAAGTTTTTATCTCGGTTTATATGAATAATTGCTTTAATGGCTCTTCTGTGCTAAATAATAAAGCAGTGAACCTAAAATCCATAGATGAAACTGGAAGAGCAAATTGATATTCATCTTGAAGGCATGTGTACTTCAATATCAGTTTACGAAAGTGTTAATGGTTACATATAGCTTTGAAAACCATTGTTCCAATTTCTATTTTTTATTTGATCTTTCTTTTCATTGATATATTCACCAACCGATTACTTATTTCATTATATTCTTCAGAATTTAAATACAAACTAATGAGTCTTGAAATGTTCTTATTTATGAGTTTTTGGAGGTTGGAACACGAATGTTTAATTTTAATACAATTTGATTTTGTTTGAAATCTCACAATTAAAGTGAGAAAAACAGGGTTAGAGTTCCCTGCTTTTTTGATGAATTTTTTAAGTTGATTTTCAGACGTAGAAGGGAGAAACCACTTTTAATTTCTGAAAGTAGAGTCATAAAATTCTGCATCATTAGATGCTAAAATTGCTTTTTTATTTAATGCAACTTTTCTCCTTTACAGTGTTATCTAATCTTGCCACTAACGAGTTCCCACTTTCGTATCATAGCTATCTAAGAACAAACTTGTTGCATCTCGCTTTACTATGTTGCCATTTAACAGTATTGTTACACATTTCTGTAGGTCTTCAGACCCATTTGAAGAACCAGAATCTGAGGCTTTTGATATCTTTGTTAACGAGCTCCTATGCATCGGAAAAGGTAAGATTTGTTTCTTTATCCCTATTTTAGTTTTTAATCATGCATTGTTAGAGTCAAAGAACGACTATCTTGACAATATTGGGGTGATCACATTTAAGTTTTTGGGGGATATTGTAACTTAATGGGAATTATTATAACACCCCAAGATCAAATTTTGGAAGAACTCCCAATTTAAATTCTTAATTAATCAATCAAAGTTTCTATGAATTTATCAATATAAATCAATTTAACGGATGTAAGTAAAAATTATATACATCAAAATATAAAATTATATTCACCCCTCAAATTTAATATAATAGCCAAGAGTTTAATCAGTACATTCATTAGTCTATCTTTTAGCTTTTGACTATAAAATAATTTAATTAAAAAAAAAATAGAAACAAAATAAACCTAAATTTATGATCGTTCCTCACTTCACTAGATCCTAAACCCTTTTATAAAAATATGTAAAATTATAGAGTGAGCTAACAACTCAGTAGATTATCAAAACTTATAATTAAAATCAATGCAAGCCACTAGAAATAATATGCATGTAATTATTTAGTCAATATAAGTTTGAACATATAACTGTAAGATATGTGACAATCAATGCGATTAGTTTCATATCATATAAACAGTAAAGTCAGTGTAAGCAATACAATTCATAATAAGTGATCAGTAATCAAGTAAACAGTGATCAGTAAGTTCTGTAATTCCTATACCCAACTGTTACAAAATAATTTATATAGTATATTATTACATTAGTACAACTATCATAATCATATGACTATTCTACAATGTTATACTATGCATGTATGTCATGTAAATTATGTGATTCATATATGTCAAATGTATTTGTATCAATTTACCAGTCTTATCAGATACTTGTATCAATCATAATCTATTTCTTATGCAAATCATGTTATGTCAATTTTTTTTTCTCAATCACGTCATGTCAAATATGTAATTTATCACATATATATTCCTGTCATATGCATATGCAAGCACTGTAAGCAAGATTAAACATACAACAATTGTGTTGTTTTTCTTATGTCAGACCCAACTCTACAGGAGTCAATATTCAATCATATCAGTTTTATTTTTAGGAATCAATCATATCACAAATCATTTAGGTCAAGTGGATTTCATATCATAAGTTGTCACTTTTTGCCTGTTGGCGTATCATATTATATCAATATCTCCTTATGCCTCCCTTTTTATATCATTTGGAATTACATTAAAAATCTTATTTTAGAAGAAAGCCCGTCGGCCCATCTTCTGTATAGGGTAATGTGTCTCTAGCCAATTTGAATTATTCAATTATTTCTGATAAGTCTTTCTTACATACACATATTTCAAAGCATATATAATATAGTAAACAAGTGATATTATGCTCTATGTTCAGTCTATTGCATTAGTCTAGTGTATATAAAATATGCATATGAATTATGACTAGTGACATTTATAATAAAAATTAATATACACAATTTCACATGTATATGGCCACAACAAATGAATTTTATTAAGTATGTATGTCATAGATTGATATTATAAGATATTGACAATTATTTATCCAATTTTCATATTTATCAAAATTTGTCAAATTAGGGTATTTTTCCCAAAATACAAAAATATCCGAAGAAAATTCAATATATTCCTGTTAATATGTGCAGAATAATTAAAACTATAACATATTAGAAGTTACATGGTGGAAGTTTATTAAAAATCAAGATATCTAAACTTTTATAAATTTTGATCAAATTAAAATTAAGAAAGCACAAAATAAGTAAAATTCCTAAAATCAAATATAGGGTAACGGTAGCCTAGTTCGAGATGAAAAAGATTTCCCAATTAGATTGATCGACAAAAACGGCTCTATGACTCCTAAACTTTGGGTTTCTCTCTCCTTCCCTCTTTTTTTTTCTTCTTATTTTTTATTTCTCATTCTCTGTTTTATGACAATTGAAAGAGAAAAGCCATTTGAGAAGTTTTGTAGTGGATTTAGAATTTTTAATAATAAAATAAGCTGAGGACATATTGGTAATCATGTCAGTTTTTTAGTTTTTAATATAAAATTCTTATAAATAATTTTATATCTTTATATCTTTAAATCCAGGGATCCAAAATTTTTAGAAAAAAAATATCCATAAAATAGCACAACATGCCTAGAAAGCTTTGGTGAAATCACTTTGCAAAACAGACGCCTATCGGTCCTAGAAATCCAACTTGTACCGACATGTGTCAATTTCTTAAGGTATTACAATTAAATAAGAAGCTTTTTTTTTTCATATCTTTACTGCCCATAAAATGAGGAAAAAATATTATAATTATAGCATATCAATATCTATGATATGACAATGATAGTTTGCAAATTGGACTTATAATAATTCTTAAAATATTACTTGATTTTTTTAGATCAGAACATGTCTATTAAAAATTATCTTCTTTAAGAATTTATTGTTCTAGAAATATTTTACTTCTCATGCTATTCTTCTGTTCATCTTGCCATCCTATGTTGTGGCTCAATATTCATCTGACACTTTGATGCCAGCTTGAAACTTCAGCGCCCATGAACTTTGCTAGCATTGCATGTTTACTAATAGTTATTTAATTTCGTTACATTCGTTTGAGAATATCTTCCTTATAGTTCATCATCAAACTTTTGTCAACTACACTGTAAAGGCCCATTCTCTTGTTAAGAACACTCAACTATTTTTATTTTGCACTTCTATTACCCAGTGCTAATATGGTTTCTTTTATACAGGCTGCTCGTATTCATGTGTAAAACGGGCACCCTATGCTTTCTCATTTACTCTCGAGAGTGGCACAGCACGAGTGGTATCTCAAGGTAATGCTTATCAACTTCACTTTATGGTCAGGCTAATTTTCATTAATTTCTTTTAGTTATATTCGGCAAAGTTTTCTTGCTATCTCTTGATGATCTTTTGTTGCAACTAAAGCTGATTTAGAATAGATAATGTTAAGAATTATTGGAAATATTTTGGGAAAAAAGCTTTGCATTTTAATTTAGGCAACTTAAAAAAATATCATACTGTCAGTGAATTAAATATTAAATATTTACAGTGTAAATAATTATTACGAAACAAAATTAAATAGGATGAAGAAAAGAAGCCCGAAAAAATTAGGTTGAATATCTTCCCTTAAAGGAGAGTGTCCTTTCCATGCAAACATTTAGTGCCACTATTACCAATTTTGCTTCTGGGACTAGTTCCTTGTTTCTATCGTAGTGTGTCAAGTTAGAAGATTTGTAAAACCCACCCTCATTTATCATCATAATACTAAGGCAAAAGATAAATTCGATGGACAAGACATAAATGATGTTTTGAATAAATAAGGGACATTGTTTTTGTATTTCTTAATTCTCAATCTCATGGGCTAAAAGGAATCAATATGAGTCGTCCGATGGAGCACTCCGAATTTACTCTAGATATTCTCCATATTTAAAAGGTATGCTACTATTAAAATTTATAAATAGACCCCATCTTCCCACATCAACGGTGTTTGGGTTGGAGGAGGCTTCAACTTTGGGCATGCCACTCTTAGATATGGTGCCCGCCGACTACTATACCTGCGATCATCGTCACCCGCCGACTACGGTCCCTGTGACCACCGTCGCCCGCCGCTACGGTCCCTTTGACCACCGTTGTCTGCAGACTACGGTGCCTCCAACCACCGTCGCTCGCCGATTACAATCCCTCTGACCTTTGTCATCAGACAATAATCCCCACAACTTCAATCGCCTGACTATGGTCCCTCCAACCTCTTACGGTCCTACCAACCAAATGAATAGGCCAATGTTATTTTGAAAACAACTTTCATGTCACTGGATTATTTCAACTCTAACCATATAATGTGATATATGGGATGTATATTTGCTACATTTTGCCAAGACCTATCCCGGAGGAAGTGCATTATTTGTAATCAACTACAAACACTAGTAGAACAATTTTAATTGGGCCAAACCTCGTGGTTGTTCCCCTTTTCATGATTTTTTACGTAAAATTTTGATATCTCTTATAACTCTTGCACCACTCTCTCTTGTTCGTGTGTGTACTGGATTTGCGTACAAAGCTAGGACGCTAAACCTTGTTTATCTCTACCGCCGCGAATGTTCTGGCATGCAACAATTTTAATGATCTCATCATATCGAAGATTAATGATGTAATGGAGTTTCTTGAACCAAGATCTTCAACTGATCCTTTGTAATCACACATGATAGGGGCACCATATTTTTAACTGGGGGTAGGGTTTTTATGGCAATGTAAACTTTGATTTTAGCCTACGATTAATCTCACTTTAAATTCTTAAATGGTTTAAGTGATGACATGAATATTGTGAAATTAACATCTTGGACTCATTAGCAGTTAAGTTCAACCCGATATCCACACAATATACTGCACATCATCATAGAGATGAGCTTGACATTGAACTACCATAATTTGTGCTCCATAGTTACTATACCAATCATCTTAGTTTTTGTCCATTGAGCCTATTGATAAAAAACCATGAGGTATGTATCCACCACCGGTGGTTTTCATATAAGCTTAAATTATCTCCTTCAATGTTTTAAGCACAAAGTTCCTTAATGGTCCATCTAATCTCTCTAGATCCTTTGTCAATAGTTGTACAAAAACTCATAGACATTTCACATTTGATATCATTGGTAATTAGCATATTATTTGGCATAATTAAAATACCTCCACATTTTAGCTTCTTTCACTAATCATAAATGAACAATCTACAAATAATATTACAAATGTGGGCTTCAAAAATTTCACATCTCGGCCTCTCTATATGATTCAAGGAGAGTTTTAACTGATTAAATTCTAGGATAAATTTTTAGAATGCAAATTGTTGTAAAGATGAGATACTACCCAAATGTTTTGCCCTCATTTGTGAGGACTTTAAGATATGAGTTAAGATTTCCCATAGATGCAAGCCTCTATGGTTAATTACCTCTTCTAATGCCTGGAGAGCATTTTTTGTTAAGGCTAGTCATTAGATAGTCTTAGTATCCAGTGTATAATAGTAACGAATTTAGATATTTAGAATCTGAAGTTTACCATCGTACACTTAAAAGCGAATGTTGGGGGGATGATGATGAACTCAATATATATATCATGATTATGTTATCCCAAGTGTCATGGTCCCTAGTCTATATATTTCGAGGAGATAGTCGACCCAATTTGACTAAAGGATCTTTGTCAATAACCATGGGTTGCTTCGTCTGAGGGTACCTTATAAACATGGAATGAATGTTTATTTAAGGGATAAATTCAAGTATGTCTTAGCTAACAGAGAGCTTTATGCCTTATCAAATATACCTTATGATTCATTATTCAAAGTTGTTAGCCATTAGGAGCATAAGAGCTCTGACTATGTTCATAATATAGCAGTGCCTATCTGTGACAAAATCACTGGGTAATAATCATTTACATATGGAGTCATTTTAGCCAAGCCACTGATTTTATGAAGCCATTTGGGCTAAACTGACAGTTATATGGCATGTGCCACCTCCTTAGGGCTGCAACGAACCAAGCGTTTGACGAGTTACTCGTTGCTCAGTTCGATTAAAGCTCGTTTGAGATCGTTTAAATAATTAAACAAATAAACTTGAACATCTTTTTTAAATACTTGATTCTTAAATAAATAAGCTTGAACAACAATGTGTTCTACTCATTTATGTTCATGAACAACATAATTTTAAGTTCTTGAACAAGTTCGACATTAAGCTTGATAAGATGCTTTCATTTTATTTCATACCTTCAATAGAATGAATTTATTCATGAATAAGAGATATTTGTTTAAAATGTTCATGAACAAATATAAGATGAATCATAGATCATTTATTCGTGAACCAACTCATTTGGTAGATTGAAAATACTAATTAGATATGTTCATGAATGTTCTCATTTGATAGCTCAATAATACTTGTTAGATATATTCGTGACAAAGCTTGTTTGATAGTTTAAAAAACTTTGTTTGATATGTTCACGAACATGATCGATGTAACTGTTTCTTAGAAGGTTCAATAAGGCTCGTTTGTTAAGTTAATAAACATCTAGAATTAGAGCTCGTTTATAGCTTTATAAGGCTCGTTTGTTTAATCTTCGATAAGCACGAAACAAACCGAACATGAATCAAACATGAACACCCATTAATTTAAATGAACAAAGCTTGAATACAAACAAAAAAGCTCGAATTGAGCTTGAACCAAACTTGAATCAACCAATAATAAACGAACTCAAACATGAACACGCACATACTTAACTCGACTTGGTTCATTTGTAGCCCTTGACCTCCTTATTAGCGAGAGGTTATTTGAGAATGAATCTTAGTGATATTTTTGATTGAACATTTGCTCTTCATCGCTCTCGCCAAATTGTTGCAGAGGGTAGATGAATTTTGCTTTAAGTATTAGATGATATATTTCACGTCAAATATTTTAATTTTGATAAATATTAAAATTTAAAATTTTGATAGATTTTAAGAATTAATTTCTGTTGATATTTTTTATAGCACAAGCATTATCAGAATGACATTCATGTCACTTGATATTTATATTTTTTTAAGGTTTGAAGGCATTTAAAAAGGTAAAATCTCCTCTGATTTAAATTTACTATCAATACGATCATCATTGAAGAGATATTGAAGTCACTTTAAAATGTTTGTAATTTTTGGCATGAGAATTCAATTTTTGAGAGTTAACCCCTTTGGTTGAGATCCTCATTTAATACGATCATCATCAGAGTGATATTAAAGTCACTTTAAATATATTTGTGTTCTGTAAGAGTTTGGAAGCTTTTAAAAGATAGAGTTTCTTTCAATTGAGATTTACTTTCAGTACAACCATTATCAGAGATTTAAATAATTCATATTTTTATTATTTGAATCATGTCAACTCTGTTCGATTGTTGTGAGAGGATCATGTTCGATATCAACTTTGTAAGTTATTACATGAGCGTTGTATCCAAGAGTTTGTATTTTTATGATGAATTTTATTTGAAGAGGCTTTGAAGGGCTAATGTCAACTTAAAATCACATTTATCACGATGGATTTTACGATCGTGCATTCACTTATTAATTAAAGTCATTTTAAAGAGGAGGATTGGGTTTGAAATTTAAATTTATGTTCAACGCGCACGGTATGTTCAGGGAAGGGTACTTGTAGGTTAGATGTGGCAAGTGAGGCAATGGATAAATAGAAGGGGGTGGAAGCTTGGATGGCCATTAGATGGTGTAGTGTTATGTGGGTTGGCCAATTGGAGGTGTAGAGTAGGCTAGAGTTCAAGGGGTTAGGAGGAAGTGAGGTTGAGAGTGGTCGAGAGGTGAGTGAAGACTGAACTTCTACATGTACAAAAGGCGAGGACTACGACTATATCTATAGGTGGTCGAATCTAGTTGTAATGGAGGGTGATCTTGTAGAGGTCTAGGGAGGTGAAGACAACGACGATGATAGTGGGGTTATATGAGCAACTGGTTCGCTTGCATATTGGTAGGCAACTGGGAGTTTATGCAACATTGAGAGCAAGAAGGGTGGCTAGTTGGATGTTGCAGGTGAGTGGAAAGGGGATCACGTGAGGGAGAAATTGAGTGATGAGGTTCAGCTTGGTCGGTGTTCGATCGAGTAGGAGTTTCCGTTTATGTGAGGGGAATAATGAGACTTACGAAGGTCTTGTCTTTTTTTTTAGGTTTGAATTGAAGAGCTATTTAGGGAGCTTTTGTTTCAATGAGAGAATGAGGGTTAAAAGTTTAGTTGGCTTGAGAAATCAGAGATTTGGAGCTAAAGTAGCAAAAGATATACTTTTTCTACCCCACGACAGCAGT